TTTGAACCGTAGTGTTTAATTCATGTACTATTCTGTCATCAGTTGTCCTCATCACCTAGAGTAATTCCTGGAACTTGGCGAACTCCTCACAGTTCACACTGCCACTGGGCGCCGCCATATTGGACCTAAACACTTGCTTTATATACAAGGTGTGGTACAGGTTGTACAAAGATAGATTAAGGTCAGTTTATGTTCTTGAAGAACTTAGAATCTAATATGAGGAATTCTAACAAGTATAAAAATACCTACAATATAAGGCAGAACATGACAAACGTTCTTGAGAAAAACAAAGTACTTTGTGTTTCAGAAAAGGTTGAGATTATACACAACTATAGAGAAAGAAAAAAAACTTCCTAAAGAATGCTGCAATTGTTTTCAAAGGCATTTTAATAGGGAGTCAGTATACAAAGGGAAGATATGTCAGAAGGAATAACTGGACAAAGACTTCCTTCTAAAAAAATTTTATTTTGTTCTCAAAGGTAAACAGATTTTGTGGTTCTCAAATATGTGATCACTAAAAGGGCAGTTTGTACTTGTGTGGAACACATGCTTTTGGTTAAATAGGTTATGAGGGTTGGAAAAGAAGGGAACCAGATTCTCCAAGAATTTAGGTACAGATTTTCCTTTGGTTTGCTTACAGGTGGTGGTCAATGCATCATCAAGATTAATGCTCAGTTATGACCTCAAGACTTACCTCACCAATACCCCCAATTCAACTATATTCAAGCTCTTCATCACTACTGGCAGAAATGGTGTCAATCTTAAAGGTCAGGAATCTCTTTATAGGTCTGAGTGGTTGTTTTAATCTTTCCCATCTTCCCTCAATTCATTTGTCCCTTCGTATTAGTAATCCAAGTTTTCTTTTTATTTCAAAACTGATTCCATCTTGACAAGTTATAGAGATCTATAATTCTCAGAAATTATAACTAGATTAAGGTGGTTTTTCTTTTTGGAGACAGAGTCTCACTCTGTTACCCGGGCTAGAGTGCTGTGGCATCAGCCTAGCTCACAGCAACCTCAAACTCCTGGGCTCAGGTGATCCTCCTGCCTCAGCCTCCCGGGTAGCTGGGACTACAG